TGGAGCGGTTCGCAGCCGAATGCGACGCGGCCGGGATGAGGATCAGTTCCTCCAAATCCGAGGCCATGGTCTTGAGCCGGAAAAGGGTAGAGTGCCCTCTCCAGGTCAGGGAGGAGGTCCTGCCCCAAGTGGAGGAGTTCAAGTATCTTGGGGTCTTGTTCACGAATGAGGGAAAAATGGAGCGTGAGATCGATAGGCGGATAGGTGCAGCGTCAGCTGTGAAGCAGGCGCTGTACAGGTCTGTCGTGGTGAAGAGAGAGCTGAGTCAAAAGGTGAAGCTCTCAATTTACCGATTGATCTACGTTCCTACCCTCATCTATGGTCACGAGCTTTGGGTTGTGACCGAAAGAGTGAGATCTTGGATCCAAGCGGCCAAAATGAGTTTTCTCCGCAGGGTGTCTGGGCTCTCCCTTAGAGACAGGGTGAGAAGCTCGATCATCCGGGAGGGACTCAGAGTAGAGCCGCTGCTTCTCCACGTCGAGAGGAGCCAGTTGAGGTGGCTTGGGCATCTGTTTAGGATGCCTTCTGGACGCCTCCCTGGTGAGGTGTTCCGGACACGTCCCACCGGAAGGAGGCCTAGAGGATGACCCAGGACACGCTGGAGGGACTATGTTTCTCGGCTGGTCTGGGAATTTCAGGATTCCCCTTGAAGAGCTGGCCCAAGTGGCTGGGGAGAGGGAAGTCTGGGCCTCCCTACTTAGGCTGCTACCCCCGTGACCCGACCCCGGTTAAGCGGAAGAAAATGGATGGATGAATGGATAATTGATTTATTGTTTATTGCAACAGGCCTAGTTGCACCACCGTGCTTGGCGCTATATAAATAAACTGAATTGAATTGAATTGTTTTACAGCAGCAGGAAGCTTGGCAGCCTGTCAAAATAAAATGTTAAAATAAAATGAAAAATACATAAATTAGCTGCTCCTGTGTACAAGTGGAGTCCAAAGCATGTGGAAAAAAATAGCGGCTTATACTCTGGCAATTTTGGTACTTACTTTATTTACTTTACTTGACTTACTTACTTTACTTGACTTACTTATTTTACTTACTTTATTTACTTACTTTAGTTATTTATTTTACTTACTTACTTTAGTTACTTACGTACCTATTTAATCTATCAGTCAGTCCCATGTGGGAAATTCGAGGCATCCAGTAACATTTTCTAATTGTACATAAAAAATACATATGAAATAGTCAAAGAAGCAAAATACACAAATAAAAAAAAGACAAATCTGCACATGCACAAGGTGGTAGTCAAGTCAGATTTATTTATAGAGCACATTTAAAATAGAAACTGTTACCAAAGTGCTTAACAAAAAGATCACAGCATCAAATAAAAGTAACAAGAAATAATTACAGCACATGGAATAAAAACACAAAACATCCATCCATCCATTTTCTTCCGCTTATCCGGGGTTGGGTCGCGGGGTAGCATCTTAAGTAGGGAGGCCCAGCCACTTGGGCCAGCTCCTTCGGGGAAATCCCGAGGCGTTCCCAGGCCAGCTGAGAAACATAGTCCCTCCAACGTGTCTAGGGTCTTCCTCTTGGCCTCCTCCCAGTGGGATGTATCCAGAACACCTCACCAGGGAGGGGTCCAGGAGACATCCTAACCAGATGCCTGAGCCACCTCAACTGGCTCCTCTCGACGTGGAGAAGCAGCGGCTCTATTCTGAGTCCCTCCCGGATGATCGAGCTTCTCAGCCCATCTCTAAGGGAGAGCTCAGACACCCTGCGGAGAAAATTCATTTTGGCCGATTGTATCCGAGATCTCGTTCTTTCGGTCACAACCCAAAGCTCATGACCATAGATGAGGGTATGAACATAGATCGATCGGTAAATTGAGAGCTTCGCCTTTTGACTCAGCTCTCTCTTCACCACGACAGACCTGTACAGTGCCCGCTTCACTGCAGACACTGCACCTATCCGCCTATCGATCTCACGCTCCATTTTTCCCTCATTCGTGAACAAGACCCCAAGATACTTGAACTCCTCCACTTGGGGCAGGATCTCCTCCCTGACCCAGAGAGGGTCCTTTTCCGGCTCAAGACCATGGCCTCGGATTTGGAGGAACTGATCTTCATCCCGGCTGTGTCGCACTCGGCTACGAACCGCTCCAGCGAAAGCTGCAGATCACGATCTGATGAAGCCAACAGGACGATATCATCTGCAAAAAACAGAAGCAATCCTAAGGCCACCAAAACGGATCCCCTCAACACCTTGGCTGCGCCTAGAAATTTTGTCTAAAAAAGTTATGAACAGAATCAGTGACAAAGGGTAACCTTGGCGGAGTCCAAATCTCACCGGGAACAGGCCCGACTTACTGCCAGTAATGCGGACCAGGCTCTGACACCAGTCATACAGGGACCTAACAGCCCGTATCAAAGGGCCTGGTACCCCATACTCCCAGAGTACCCCCCACAGGGTTCCCCGAGCGACGCGGTCGAACGCCTTCTCCAAGTCCACAAAGCACATGTAGACCGGTTGGGCAAACTCCCATGCACCCTCCAGGATCCTGTTGAGAGTGTAGAGCTGGTCCAGTGTTCCATGACCAGGATGAAAACCGCACTGCTCCTCCTGAATCCGAGGTTCGACTATCCGACGGACCCTCCTTTCCAGAACCCCCGAATAGACCTTACCAGAGAGGCTTAAGAGCGTGATCCCCCTGTAGTTGGAACACTCTCTAATGTCCCCCTTTTTGAATAGGGGGACAACCACCCCGGTCTGCCAATCCAGGGAAACTTCCCTCGATGTCCACGCAATATTGCAGAGTCACGTAAGCCAACACAACCCTACAACATCCAGAGCCTTAAGGAACTCTGGGCGAATCTCATCCACCCCCGGGGCCCTGCCACCGAGGAGTTTTGTAACCACCTCGGTGACCTCAGCACCAGAGATTAGAGGGCCCAACCCAGCGTCCCCAGGTGCTGCTTCCTCGGTGAAAGACGTGCCGGTGGGATTGAGGAGGTCTTCAAAGTATTCTGCCCACCGACCCACGACATCCGGAGTTGAGGTCAGCAGCACACCACCCCCAATATAAACAGTGTTGGTGGTGTACCGCTTTCCCCCCTGAGACACCGGATGGTGGACCAGAATCGCCTCGAAGCCGTGCGGAAGTCATTCTCCATGGCCTCTCCGAACTCCCCCCATGCCCGAGTATTTGCCTCAGCGACCACCCGAGTCGCATGTCGTTTGGACTGCCGGTACCCAACAGCTGCTTCCGGGGTCCCACAGGCCAAAAAGGCCCAATAGGACTCCTTCTTCAGCCTGACAGCATTCCTTACTGCCAGTGTCCACCACTGGGTTCAAGGGTTGCCACCGCGACAGGCACCGACAACCTTGCGGCCACAGCTCCGGTAAGCTGCCTCGACAATAGAGGCACGGAACATGGCCCACTCGGACTCATTGTCCCCTACCTCCCCAGGAACATGTTCAAAGTTCTCCTGTAGGTGGGAGTTAAAGCTCCGTCTCACAGGAGACTCTGCCAGATGTGCCCAGCAAACCCTTACAATATGTTTGGGCCTGCCAGGTCTGACCGGCATCCTCCCCTACCATCGGAGTCAACTCACCACCAGGTAGTGGTCAGTAGACTGCTCCGCCCCTCTCTTCACCCGAGTGTCCAAGACATGTGGCCACAGATCAAATGAGACGATGACAAAGTCGATCATTGAATTGCGGCCTAAGGTGTCCTGGTGCCAAGAGCACTTATGGACACCCTTATGCTTGAACATGGTGTTTGTTATGGACAATCCATGGCGAGCACAGAAGTCCAACAACAGAACACCACTCGGGTTCAGATCAGGGGGGCCGTTCCTCCCAACCACACCCCTCCAGGTCTCACTGTCATTGCCAATGTGAGCATTGAAGTCCCCCAGCAGAACAAGGGAGTCCCCAGGAGGTGCACTTTCCAGTACCCCCTCCAAGGACTCCAGAAAGGGTGGATAATCTGAGCTGCCATTTGGTGTATAAGCACAAACGACAGTCAGAACCCGTTCCCCCACATGTAGGCAGAGGGAGGCCACCCTCTCATTCACCGGGGTGAACCCCAACACACAGGCACCAAGATGGGGGGGCAATAAGTATGCCCACTCCTTCTCGGCGCCTCTCACCAGGGGCAACTCCAGAGTGGAAGAGTGTCCAACCCCTCTCAAGGAAACTGGTTCCAGAGCCATGCGTAAAGGTGAGTCTGACTATTTCTAACCGGAACCTCTTAACCTCACACACCAGTTCAGGCTCCTTCCCCAACAGTGAGGTGACATTCCACGTCCCAATAGCCAGCTTCTGTAGCCGAGGATCAGACCGCCAGGGTCCCCGACCTCAGCCACCACCCATCCCACATTGCACCGACCCCTTTGGCCCCTCCCACAGGTGGTGAGCCCATGGGAAGGGGGACCCACGTCTCCTCTTCGGGCTGTGCCCGGCCGAGCTCCATGGGCAAAAGCCCGGCCACCAGGCGCCCACCTGCGTGCCCCACCTCCTGGCCTGGCTCCAGAGTGGGGCCCAGGTGACCCACGTCCAGGCGAGGGAACATCGAGTCCATTTATTTTGCTCATCATTGGGGTGTTTGGGCTAATCTTTGTCTGGTCCCTCACCTAGGACCTGTCTGCCTTGGGTGACCCTACTAGGGGCGTGAAGCCCCTGACAGCATAGTTCCTAGGATCATTGGGACACTCAAACCCCTCCACCATGGTAAGGTGGCAGCCCAGGGAGATGAAAAAAAACAATATTAGAATAATTGGTAGGGAGTATGTACTACATTTTAAATCATAAATATCACTATATTTTCTGTTTTCCTTAAATCATGCCATCCTCTAAGAACACGAACCTTCCATTTATAATGGTGGCATTTTACTGGTCAACTTTGTTCAATTGAGCTCTTCTGCTGCTTGGATCTGTCTAATCCCTGGGATGATGAGTGTCATTAGCCTCTGCTGTCACTTGTAGAACAGTTGTGTAACGTGCAGCACCTCTTGGGTCTGTGTTTACCTGTTCACCTTTTCTTCAGGGGGCAGAGTTCAACTCCCAGAAAGCTCTTCAGGAGACACTTCAAAAGTCAGAGAGGACCAAAAACTTGATCAATGCCCGAGCTGCAGAAGGTAAGCTGCTTCTCAGTTAACTCATTTGTCTCTTCCTGCCCGCTGAACCTGATTATCAATCACGAGGTGCATCTGATCAGCAGAAGACGACAGAAGCAGTTGCAGTAGAGCAGTGATGAACAAATAAAACTTTAAATATGGAAACTTTTCAGATAGTTGAATCTGGTCGTTTTGAAAAGTGTTTTAGGCTTTAAATTATATGTTTAATGACGAGCTTTGAAATTAACTTAAACTATAGTTATTAACCCTAATGAGCTGGCTGTAGCAGCTGCTGCTGCTCAGCTGGTTCTAATGAATATTTCAGGAAACATCTGTTGGATGTACATCTACAACTGGTTAACCTTTGACCTCAAATTGAGCGTCACAGCTAAGAAACCTTACAAAACAAAATTTAGCTACAAGTTTTGAGCTAAACTGTGATGCAGTGGTAGCTGAGAGTCATTCCTAACACATACGCATTCACACGTTTGACCGGAACAACTTTAACTTTAGTCAACCGTATGAAGGCGGGCAGGCCTGAAGTTTGTTGTTAGTTTTAGGGAAATTCCTCAGCCCAAACTGGTTTTGATGTGAAGTTGAAGTGATGTTTGTTTCCTGCAGTGGTGAACGTCTCTCGCTCCCAGCTGCTCTTCAACTCGCTGGTCAGCGTCAGTGTGCCGGACGATCAGCTGATCAGCCAGGTGCTGCAGGACAGGCTGCTGCTGGCCCCGCCTCGCTGCCATGACCCTGAGCCAGTAGAGGGCCCCTCCCTGCTCTTCTTCACGACCTCTGACCTTATCAGACAGAAGCCCCTTCCACAAGAGGAGGAACCAGGCACCCAGAAACCTTTGCCTATGCCACGCCCTGCCTACTTCACCTTTGACCTGTTCAAGCGACGGAGGTGCTGGGAGGCCACGCCCTGACACACATTGGACAGATTATTGTCGTGCCTGGGCTTTTTTATTTTAATTTTAGTCTTCTACAAATATGGATTTATGTGTCTAATAAGAAGTTTGTTGTAAATAAAGTTAGTTGAAAATACAGACCAATAAAACTTTTTTACAGCTTAAATAAAAAGTGCAAACTATGGTAGTTATTCTGTTGGCTGAGGGCAGCTAGCTGAAGGAAACTTCTTGAATTTGACTGACTCCCAACACTTATTGAAGACACTGATGAAGTCATTTGTCTGTCAGTAAAATATCTCAGCCCACAGAATGGATTTTAATTCAACTTTAGGTCATCATTGTTTACTTAAAGTTCTGTTCTGGAGCTGCTTTGTTGCATCTGAACTAAACCTGTGCAGGGTACAATAAAACTAAAGTAAATGGTAAATGGACTGTACTTTTAGCACCTTTCTGTCTGGTCAATACACTCAAAGCTCTTTACAACACAATCTGTGCCTCATTCATGCAGCACTCTACTAGATCTGCACAAAGATTAATCAGTGCTTTATCACACTCATACAACTAAGACTATCAAGTTATTCTGGAGCAAAATGTGCTGCTCAGTGTCAGTTGCATGTCATGTGTCCTCCAACAGAATGACCCACAACAAACGGCTAAAACACCCAACAATGGCTCAGAACCAAAGATTGGAGTGTTCTGAAGTAGTCCTCTGAGCCCTGATCTAAATCCTGTTGAACATCTGGAGAAGGAATCCTTCAAACCTGAGACTACTGGAGCAGTTTGATCACAAGGACTGGACCACAGCTCAGGTAGACTGGTGCAGAAGTTTCATTTTACAGAGGTGTCTGCAGTCCAGTGCGATAAGGAGTGTTCCCTCCTCTAGACAGAGGAACTAAACTTCTCCATACATACGTATAACCAGGCGTACATGCTGACAACATGACCATCTCATGGAATAAGTTGGTAAGTTAAACACCAATGTGAGCATCCGCCCCACACAACACTTCAGAAGATTACAGAGCTCCCAGCATCTCATGAAAACAAAACTCACGTCAATCCTGAACTTCCAGGAAGTATTTGTCACAAAACGCTCAGAACTTATAGCGTCTTAAATGGAGGGCAGTCACATCCAGAGATAACGGCAAGTATTTTGTATGTGCATACAATATTTATTGCTAAGAATTATATTGTATTACATCATATACTAAAAAGCCACCATAGTCAGTAAGGATACATGAACTGTGTACACTGCAAAAGCAGGACATAGACCCAGGAATTCAATTCAGTTTATTTATATAGCTCCAAATCACAACAAAGTTGTCTCAGGGCACTGAACAGGAACATTCACATACATAGAAAAGCCTATTAGTAAAGTTCTCTATCTAAGGAAGCAGCAGACACGTTGAATCTTCATTTTTGTCACAGTCTCCCATCCTGAGCAAGCACAATAGAAACAGTGGAAAGGAAAACCTTTGTTTTAAAGTAAAGAAACCTCCATCAGAACCAGGCTCAGGACGAGTGGCCATCTGCTTTGATCGGCTGGTTTGAGAGGACAGGAAGGAGAGACAAACAAACACAGAATGTTAGGTCCAGATGAAGATGCAGGTGTACCTGAAAGACGAAAACACGTTAAGGATAGAAAAAAAAAAAACCAACCACAGAAAAAACAAAGACCAAGCTTTTACATAGAGCCTCTGTCAGTTGTCCAACTTAATTCCCCTGCATTAAGGGTTTCAACACTTTTTGACTCGTTTCCTTATCTTTTTCTTTTTGTTTTTTAAAAACACCAAGACTGGTGAATGGGCCCCAATGACTTTTTTTTAATATCTTGATATTTTTGAGCACGTAACTACAGACTTTTCATTGGACATTTATTATTATTATTATTATTAACAACAAATCTGTACTGAATAATGACCTGATAATCAATTCAATTCAGTTTATTTATATAGCGCCAAATCACAACAAAGTTGTCTCAGGACACTTTACAGAAACATTCACATACATAAAAGCCAATTAGTAAAGTTCTCTAAGGAATCCTGCAGACAAGTTGAATCTTGGCTTCGTTGCTGTCTCCCATCCTGAGCAAGCACAGTGGCAACAGTGGAAAGGAAAAACTCCCTTTTAAAAGGAAGAAACCTCCAGCAGAACCAGGCTCAGGACTAGCGGCCATTTGCTTTGACCTGCTGGTTGAGAGGACAGGAAGGAGAGACAGACAAACACAGAATGGTAGGTCCAGGTATAGGTCCAGGTGTATCTGAAAGACAA